TACCGAAGAGCAACCGTAAAAAAATTCGATTAACCAACAAGGTCATACACAAATACCATAAACCCATTAAAGACTATTATAGAGAATGAGGCGCAAAGGACATCAGCAGCAGCAGCAGAAGCAGCATCAACTCGGGATGGGGGGACAACCCAGACTTGACTTTTTTTCCACCTGCAGAGACCAACACCGATCATGGAGGGGTAAGCGGCAGGAGGGGGGGGCATGCAGTGTCACACACAAAAGCCTCATGCCACGTTTTTTGGGGGGGGGATCACACATCTTGCAAGAATAGACGGGCTGTGGCAGGGAAGGGGAGGGGGGCCATGTGACGCTGATGCTTGAATGATGCCGAATTACTATGATGAAGAAGTGATGCGTTGATGAACGCATGGCTAGCAGGCATCCCTGTCCTGTTCTGTCTAGGGGGCCCTGCGGTCAGCCGAACGGAAGTATAGATTACCTTAAAACATCAGATGGGATGATGATGATGAGGATGAGTAGGTGGTGGTTATTCGTAGTACTAAGTTTATTTGGGTACAGTACTCCGTACTTTCCCCGTACATGACAGTTGTTGCCAAGCTTGGAGGGGGGGCGGAAGGGTCCCCATTCACATGATGAAAATGGTAGAGTCGATATGCATGAAATGAACTTCTCGCGAGGCAACAAATGGTCTGTTCTTGTTCAGACCCTTAGACCTTTTCGCCCAGGCAACCGATGGATACTTGGCGCGCTGGCGCGGCCGGGGTGGGATGGTATCTTCGCCTAGCTAACATACCTAACGTTACTCATTCTGACGGGCCGACGGTGTGCAGATAAATTAATGATAAGGCGAGGGGGGCGGAGACGACGGGGGGGGAACCCTCATTCCTGGCTTGCCATGCTAAAATGCCATGCGATGGGCGGCCATGGTCATTCCGTGCTTTTGGGGGTCCGGTCCTTGCAGCAGTGGCAGTAGCAGTAGCCGCCGCCGCATGAATGTGGATGTGTGGTGTGTGGTGTGTGTGTGGTGGCACTGTGGCAGGATCGCTCGGCCGCTGGACCCTTTCTTTCGTTTCGGCCGCTGCCATGCTTTTCTTAGATTGAGAGGGGCGCGCGGCGCGGATCCTTTCAGATCACCCGATGGGAAGGAAGAGGGGGGGGGGCGCGCGCGGGCAAGAGGATTCGGGAGCAAACTGGAACTTACTATATTACTATAGTTTGTTACCGAAGGTGCAAAGAGAAGGTCGAAGGTCAAGGAGAGTGGATGGAGTGAACCTCCCTTCCACAGCGTGGCTCGCGATGTTTACATTACAGGTTAGTGACTGAGTTAGGCTCTGTGGTGTCATACAGGGAGGAGGGTGACCCTAGAGGCCAGACCCGACTACGCCTAGACCTAGACAAGAAGCACAAGTCAAAGCAAACCAGACACAAGAGACAGAGACAGAGACAAGTCACGGGACGGGAACTTGGTATGTACTCCATACAATTCGATCCATTCCCAGAGCAATGGATGAGATTGTAATGACACTTCCTCACTCACCCGAAGGGAAAGAAAGGGTCAGCCCAGGCTAGCTTTCCCTCGCCACTATCCCTGGTTGAGTAAAACCCCGTCGGAGATATCCGATCCTTCAACCGAGAGCACCAGTAAAAGATCTCAACCCATTCTCCGCATTTGATGAGGGACCCAGCGTCGAGGTCCTGTCCCGCTGCTCCGCCAGAGAAAAGAAAAATCGACCAAGGAAAAAAAAAAGAAATCCCAAACCACGGAGTACGGACGGTGCCACAAACCACCTCTGTCAAAAGCTCGGCAACTTCTTGGCACCCAGCTCAATCTGGTTCAGCCGATCACCAACCATTTGACCCGTGGAGCTGTCTTTGCTTCGCTAAATAAAGACAGATTGGGTTAGCGGGCGTGGAGATTATAAGCCCCCCCCTGCCAGCTTCCAATAGCGTGGGTCGGCCAACTTTATCTCTCCTTCCCTTGGGAAAGAAGAACTTTGGGTTTGGGAAGATGGGGGGACCCGAAACATCATTTCCGACGGAAGAGAGCGAGAGCTTTCTTCAAAGTCACGGGAATGGTGGGTTTGTTTTTTTTTTCTGGTTGCGAGGAGGAGAGCTTTCGAGGAGCTATCCCAGATAGTTTAGACTCGAGATACCTTTACCTGGTTCTTGTTGTTGTTGCTTGGGGTTAGTACAAAGGGAACAGGAGTGAGTAAAGAGAGTGATGAAGTATGAAACATCGTCATCGTCGTCATGACTCGTGAAACCTCTTTGTCTACTCTGTCTCTGCTCTCGCTTTTCGCTCGCTGTTTCTTCTTCCTTTCCTGACATGACCAGAAAATGTACATTTCAGACTCCCAAGTATTGTCTTCGAATTTCATAATGTCATTCCAATTACTCAGATAACTTGACGGGGTTGATGTGCTTGTTGTCTGCCAGGTAACTTAAACAGTATCTATGAAATTCGGTTTGGTTTTCGCCCCCAAACACCAAAGGATTCAAAGGAACGACAAATCAACCCAATGCTTGGCCTAGATCCATGTCAGAACTCAGAACACTGATGGAATTCAGGAAAGAATATCCTCCCATTGCCCCTCTACTCTTCCCCCCTGTTTTCTTCAATCCTTGTAGTCTCTGTGATTCTCTAGTTAGTTATTTTCAGGTCGTTAGTCATAGAGTAGGTGATCCAGCACTAACTGACTAGCTTCATACGTACTGTACACCGGGACATGGGGGTGGGCTGACTAAGGGTTATCGATGGTTTTGCAGGACCCAGCCCGCCGGGCACTTGGTCTGTTGTGTCATCTGCGTACTATGCTTCCCTCTCTCTCTCTCTCCCCATCCACCTCGTACAACTAATGTGTTAAAGTGGTACTACAATAGGGGCAATATCTCAGATGAACCATCTCAGTGGAGTGTGACTCACTCCCTCTATTTTTTTCTTTTTTTGCCTTTTTTTTTCTTTTTCTTTTGCTCATGATCGATTTTGCATCGTTACTACGCGTTCTGCAGCTTGACTGTAGTTACTCCCACCTCAGCAATTTAAGCGAGTGTACTTCACCCACTTAGTAAAGACCTCGCGTAGATTGCCAGTAGTAAGATTATACGACTTGTACCGCGCTGCAGTACCACCCTCACCTTCACGGAACTCACCCTATGCTCATGCTCCTGCTCCTGCTCATACTCATACTTGATCTTCAGCTGCAGGATTCAAGTAAGCCAAGAGATGTCGAAACGATGGACACATGGCAATGCACCGGGGGGTGTTTGATCAAGGCTACTTATTGGACGAGGGTGTTTCGATGGTGAGAGGGACTGCACTGCCCACCCATCAGCTAAGTTATTACCAGATTAGTCTCAATTGTCTTGAGGATATAGATTCTAGATCTGGGATTACTTATACGATTGATGAATAGATGGATTCTTCCCCTCAGAGAGATAAGAACGCCCAGAAGGGGAAGGTATCACAACGAACATACACTTGTCTAGCAAACCTTCCTCTTCGCAAACATATCTCTGGCTTAGTAGAGAAATGCTATTCAACCATCCAAACTTGACCCAAATGCAAGACCAATCCGCAGTACTATAGCACATATCTGGAGAGGCGAACGAAACACAGAACCCTCCAAGCATAGCGAACATCTTTCCCCCCGCCACATCCACAGAACTACTGGTAATCAAATCAAGTTTAGCTAACTATAACCATGAGCTAATATACAAGGGTTCCCCCCCTTCTCTCCCCCAAACTATACATAAGCTACATATAGGTGACAACCCTACAATGCGCTAAGTATGAAGCCCCCCTCCGCCCCCCCGGTCGATCAGAATTGAACTAAAAACTTTTTTAATTAATGTTACATCTCAACCTCCCAGTCCCCCCCTCTTATTCCCCTTGGTTCCCGTCCGCCATGCCGAGGGGGGGTTAGTGCATGAGATCTTGAATGTCAAACAAACACAAAAAAATGGTGGACTGTGGTGTAAGCTGCAGCGTTACACGGATGATGGACATCGCTTCTTCACTGTACTCTCCCGCTGGTTGCTAGATCGAAACACCTTGGTGTTACCTACGTTATCTTGGTTGACTAATTGCTCTAGGGGGTCGCTTGGCGTTTGCTTATGGGGTTTTGATTTTTTTTTCTTTGCTCCATACTACCTGGTACCTAGCTAGACGTGAGGATGTATGTCTTATATCTGATGCCCTATCAGGGTTGAGGCGGGGGTTTCCGGATTGGGGTATTCGTCTTATAACTGCATTATCTTACCCTTGATCCCAGGTTCAGCGTTGGGCTTTTGTGTTATACTGTGCTGTGAACATTGATGTTGTAAGGGGAGGGGTTGTGGGTAGCTAAGATGTGCCTTGTTTTTTTTCTTTTGCTTTTCCCCTTTTTGTGGGTGCGGATGAAGTTGGGGGGGCAAATGGGGTGGTGAGTTCTAGAATCGAACGGCGGCTTGGCTAATGATTTTCAATGCTGATGCAAGAGTGAGTGGTTGACCTTGGTGGCAAAGAATGGAGTTGGAGCTGTGTTTCAGGTTAGTGAGAGGTGGCAATCAGGTTGCGATTTGGAGGGGGCGGAATGTGTTGAGTTGCTCGGAGTATATTCTGTTCGATGCTTGTGATTGTGGCTGTACGCGGTTGTTGGTGAGCTTCGAGAAGTAGATGGAGATTGTGTATACCTGGTTGTATACTCGAGAGTGTTCGATGGTTGAAGTGCTTAAGTACACACTTTGTACCGTGGACCGTACAAATCGTATGTCGGTGTAGATGAGAGTGAGCTCCGGCTTGAGAGTCAAGAGCCTTACCTCTTCAGAAGGTTCGTATATACTCCTGTCGTTGCAATCCCTAATTCTCATGTTCGAGGCTTTGGCTTTGGATTATCTCAACCCGAGAAAAATGCGGCCATTCGATCAGAGTACTCGGTCAAAGGGTTTTCGAAACATCCAATATATCGATTATCGCAGATACTCTCAGCACAGACAAAGACGGCCCATTTTTTGAAAGCATTTGTTCAACTAGTCGGTGTTCAACTAGTCCAAGCATCAACATCCAGCCCATTTGTGCCTCCATAAAGCAGCCTTGGATCACTTCCGATAGCCTCCCAAGCGCGCTGGAAGTGGAACATAGTGACGATATCCGATCTTGACGTAGTCTGGGATGTACCGAAAACCAGAGGTGGATGCTCTGGGAGTCGAAAGACTCCAACTTCATCGTAGACAGTCTGATAGAACATGAAGAGTGTGTTTTCATCCGATCAGAACTTTTCCTGTATCTTGCCTCTGTCGTCCCTCCTATGGTCAATATTGTCAGCGGCATCAGCACAACGCTTCATTCGTGCTTCTGGCTCGTCGCCCTGGGTGTCGGTGCTGTACACTAACATACTAATGCCAAAACGTTATCGGTTTCTGGTCAACAGTTACCCACGAGTTTTGTGTGTCTCGATCCACGAGGAAGAGGACTGGTGGTGGTAAGAAATTTGCTTGCAAGTGTTCCCGAAGCGCAGGGTAGAAATGTGCTCCTCGAGGGCATGGTATTCTAGAATTCTCGCGTGATGTGTAGTATGTGGACTCGTTCTTGGCTGGGTGTACTGGAGCTGTCCCCAAGGGATGATGGATGCGGATTGATTGAATCAGGAGCGGGGGCATCGTGTTGTTTGCCTATGGGGTTGGAGGGCTAGATTCTCGAAGGTGAGGACTATCTTTGCGATGAAGGAGCACGAAGGCTTTTGTGGAATTTAGCAACAACTAGTTGAACCGATCTCTCACCTTGACACTCAGTCCGCAGGCCTCAACCACGGTGCAGCGTGAGTCTAGGTGGTTGTAGACTGTTGCCGCTTCTGCTGTGGCTGTGTGATAACAGCCTGCAGGGTGATGTTTTGATAGATGTACCGTCTGAATTCGCACCCGTGCTGAATAGGAGGGGACATGTTTGCAGGTGAAGGATTTGGCTGTCCGCCATGATGGTCGGTACCGCTGAGCTCTCTGTGTGCGCTATGCCAATCATTCCCGGAGCTGTGGTGAAGAAATGAGCTGCAAATCGAGCATCTGTGGTGATCATGAGTACCTGGAATCTGACTCTTGGGCTGGAGAGCTGATGTTATGATTTTAGGGGATTGGCTGATCAAGGCTGGGGTGATAAACCAATGATCCAACTGCCTCAGAGAGGTCGTGAGGGAGCCTCGAGAACTCTATAGCGCGGAGAAGGCACAACTGAGGACCCGGCTAAGCTCTGCAATATGGATATCACTGCCGTGACGCATTTGCATGGTACAGTACAAGGATAGGTCAAATACATCAGACGTGGCAGCGAAGGCATCCTGTTTTGAGTAACCTTGATTCATATGCGCGTAGATAGGCATGAAAATACAGATCTAGGATTAAGTCAAAGGTGAGGTTCTTGCATACTAACTTCATAGACTGGTCACAAAGCATCATTACTGCCACTATGGTGGAATGTAAGATCAATTGAAGTGACACAGAAGATTTTTGGAGATGTGCTAGAGTTCAACAAGTGTACTCAGTCTCTCTTGTCAATTTCCTGCCTCATCAAGGCTTGCCACTCTATGTGCATCGTGGAAGTTCGTCAATCCGCTGGATACTAGGTAATGGCCACGATCGATATTCCAGTATTTAATTGAACTGCCTGCCCCTTCTTGGCTTCCTAGAATCTTCTTGTAATCTGCAGGTTGTTTCGTGGTTGACGTGATAAATTCACTGGTAAGCAAAGTGCTGGATGACATGACAATCGAAGACGATCGCATAGATCCCATACCACCGGTACTGCAGACACAGCCATCGATCAATCAGGTCGGCTCTTAGTATAAGTGTAGAAATGAAGGATTGGCTCATCAGCTTATCCTCCTTCCATGGTCCTTACGCGAGTCTTCCCTCGGTGTCAACATGGTGCACTGTGGTCAGAAAGCTCGGAACGCATCGACCGTCACAGTACCATGTCAGTTCGCTGCAGAAAAAATACATTGGGACATTATACACCCGGCACCCAATACCTGTGACCCACAATTCTCGAATTATCAAAACTGAGCGAACATCTTCCTTGCTAAGCCGAGGAATTCGAGACAGTCATTACAGGAAGGCAGATGCTCACAGCATCCCCTGCCCACCCGAGCAGCCGCACTGCAACCAATTTCCACCCCGTCATTGAGCAACTCGTTATGATAGCATCAAAAGCGGCAGTGACGGCTGAGTCGTTGTGGTTGTAACACACCGAAGGTGAAGCATAGATTAGGCAGCTCAAGCAAAGTATCCCAACAAGACGATAATTCACCGGCCGCAAGCACGTCATCGAGTGAAAGCATAGTCGATCGGTTCTGGTCAAGTACTCTGGATTTCAAAAGGACTTCCAAAAGCCTGTTGGTCGAGTTGGAAGGTCAGGGAGTTGTAATCTCTTTGAACGTAAGAGCCAACAGATTCTTCGCCCTTTCGCCGGACTGCCCCATAGAGCAAAGAATCCACGGGAGGGGTACACAGACTCTGCGACCTTTTCTCAGGTTTTATAGGCATCGACATAGCCATTTTTGCCGTCACTCATGATAGCATCGTCATTCTTCGCAAGTGGTCCGCTGAGTAACATGAAGACGACAACGAGATCCTCCGGGTCCATACAGTGCCAGTACCCTGCCCATAAGTGGCAGTTCGACGTTTGGAGTCTTGACTATGCTCGATGCTGGGTGTCTGCTTTGTTGGAGATTTGCAAGGTGTCGCTTGATTCACACAGGCCAATAAGAGCCTATGGTCGGACATCGTGCAAAGAGACTGGAATCTGGCGGTCGACTAGAAGTATGGGTGATATCTAGTCTCAGCGAAAATATATGATAATTCCGGTTGGAAGTCGCTGAAGAGGATCGCTCAGTGTGTAGTGTGGTATGATGATGATGATTCACACCCTGTTGGCAGCAGCGCATCCGTCAAACAAAACTCGGAACTAGTTGAAAAGCGTCTTCCCCAGGATGCTCGAGAGAAATTGACATCGCTAGTGAGCTAGGGAGCGATATTGTGTGCTGGCTATCAGCATGTGTGGGTGTCGACGCTAAAGAGTTAGAATTAGAAACCAGACTGACTAGTTATAAATCGACCGGGATGGACAAAGGAACGGGTGGACGAGATAAGTTAGTAACCGCGTGTGCCTCCAACCCTCCCAATTTACATCCACAAATCGCTTGGCTCATTCTCTCATACCCCACGTAGCAGTGACCAGAGGTATCACACCCCCACAAGACGAGAGATTTCATTTCCCCTCTCCCTTCGATGGCAGCATAGCAAACATTCTGATAGATTGGGCGGGATGGCCCAATCCAGCCAATCCGGCAAACCCGGAGCAAACCGACAGGGATCTGAGCCTAGTGAGCTTTTTAGCATGAGAGCAACGGAGTAGTAGCCTTCCATCAGCCTGTCATGTATGCTTAGCAGCTGGTGAATGGAGACTCAGGAGGGGTGACCTCCAATGCCGAGAGGATCTGGATGAGGGGGGGAATGAGGTAGCCCCCTTTTAGAGATGTGATCTGATCAGAAAGTGATGAGTGATGAGAAACCGCCACTTTGTCGGAGTTAATGGCTCATCCAAGAGCGGTGGAGGAAGTCACTGTAGGTCTCAATCACCTCTTTCCTAATCCGTTGGAAGATTTGGAGACTAGGCAAAAGTACGTACTTCGACACCATTAACACAGGCATCCATAGATACTATAGATAGAGAATTGAGCCCCATCGACCTGTCATATCACATCATATCACATTATCGCCAGGCAAGATGAATACAAGGTTTGCGTGGCTGAAAACCAACGAGGCTTCGAGATGACCATTGGCAAGGTGACTAGGCGCTACTAGATCGGCGTTCAGCCATCCTTTGCTGCGGCAGTCAATGCGTGTTCTAGACCTTCAGCCTTAAAATGTCGCATGGGCTAGTGTTTAGGATAGAGAGATGTTCAAGGACAATCCGGACAAGCCAAGATGGGTGTCAAAATGAAGAGGGCGTCAGTAAGGAGACAACTGTCTGGTGCTGATAGCTAACATGAGTAGTAGCATGAGCCGGAAGATGATGGCTGGCTTAGTGTGCGCGCCACGCGCAGCCACAGAGCTGGTATCAGCGACGCGATCAGCCCGCTTTCCACCCCCGCTCAAAGCCCGCCCAGGCGCAGCGCATGCGCGTCAATCTGGGGTCCTTGGAAAGTATGCCTGCCAGCAACAAACCAAAGAACATTCACAATCACAAGGACACCGGTCAGTACCACCGAGTTATAGTTCATAGACTGCAAAGTGACAGGAAGGTGCGGGGGCATGCAGTTCAAGGCAACTTGGAAAAATAGCCAGATCACCGAGAAGATATTGCAAATATAGCCAACCCAGGAGAGATCGAAATATCGCTTTGGAAGATATGACCGACCTCGTAACAGAAGCAACCCTTGGGGAATAATGTATGTCAAGTTGAGGAAGAGGACGGCGGCATTAATGATCGAGTTGAAAGCCGTGGTGGACGCGAGGTAGAGGAGGCCGTAGATGGAGCAGAACCCGAAGGAAGCAAGCGTAGTACGCACGGGGAAGTCAAGTTTCGGGCTGATTTTGGTAAAATATTCAGGAAAAGGTGTGCCGCCCTATGGAAACGATCAGTACTCGTTGGCTTGAGAATGTGCTCGTATCCATGCTGCATGCACTTACATCGCGAGCCAGTGCCCAGGCAATCCGACCAGAGGTCACCCACTGCGGTGGTATACATGCTTCACTGGATTAGCTCTCGATCAAAGTATAGTGAGGGGAATCAGTGGCCTGTCATACAAACATAGATTGCCCAAAGCAAAATGAGTAGACCGAGGGTGGCGTTTCGACTTCCAGTCCTGTTGATGAAGGTCAGAGCGCCCGCAAAAAAAGAACTAGTAGCTAACTGACACTTGATACACCAATTCGAGACTGGGAAGTGGAGAGTCTCGGATGGCTTCATAATCATGGGCAAAGTACAGAAGAACCACAATCATCGTAAGGCTGGTTACGATACCAATGACTTCTGTCATAATCATGATTTGCGGGACACGTCGCCCTGGTCGTGGTATCTCCTCAGAGATGTGTATGGCTGTTAAAGTCAACAATGTTCGTAACCGTGAAAGTTGCTATTCTTACCGCCATCTGCGGAAGCAAATGCATACATGGCATTGCTTATGGCAAGCAACCAGGCCGCACCACTGTTCCACCCGCTGTTTGCCTGATTGGATGCCACTGCAAATGACTTACCCTGTACGTGGTCGTGCATTGCTAGAGCGGTGATGAGATAAACAAGGTACCCGGCCAAGGTCAGAGAGAGCGTCAACTGCGTCACCCATGACATCTTAGTCGGTGACACAAACAGCGGGATCACTGGTAAGATTTTATTATGACACCATCGGAGGAAAGAAGTAACAGGACTTACGGGTTGAAACTGCGATTGCAAGGAAGATCAAGTAAGTACGCCATTGAGTTGTCTCATAGCCCGGGATATAGTAAGACACAATCCCCTGGAGGAAAATCGCGCCAAGTGAGATACCTGAGCATCTAGAAGAGTGTCAGTATAGTCCACAATCTTGACAGGCGAGCATCATACGTTGCCGACCACCAGGCTAACACTGAGAGCCAGCCCACGATGTAAGCATTATACTTTCGAGTACTCTTGGAACTGAGAATGTAACAGAAGTGGTATTGACCTCCGCTAGACTGTTGCAGAGTTAGCAATAGCTCTATGCAAGCTTGTATTTTCTCCTTACGGGGAATGCTGACGCCAATTCAGCGAGTCCCAGGGTGATGACAAGCTGAATTGCCCACCCGAGCACTAGGCAAACTATACAGCCTAGCACACCGACATAGCTCAGGTTTTGTCCAAAATTGCTCTAGTCCATCGAGGTATAGTGTCAGCAGAAGCACCATTCGGAGTACCCGAAAGTACGCACAAGATAACCGATCCATGAGTTGGTGATCGAAAAC